GCGAGTCTTTTACCCATCTCAAGTTGCTAAGTTATTGGATACGATATTCTCCTCTCAGAGACAAAGCAAGTCTTTTGGCGACGGCTTTATTGAAAATAATTGGCTTATAATTTGCAGCACAAACGATTAACTAAGATAAAAACCTCAAATTCAAGAATCTCAACGAATTGTGGAACTACTCCTGCCCCCGCTTCAGTAATGTAGATCAGACGATTCAGATCCAAAAGCATTTCTAATGGTGATGTACACACCTAGCGAAGTACGGATTATAAACTGATTATCACCAAAAAAGCGATCGTCCAAACTTTCGAGCGCAAAACTACTTTCAAGTTATTGTAAGCATTGTAAGGCTGGGAAATGTAGCTTTATCTTACCCAATCTTTGGACTTGAAATAAGACACACATGTAGCTCCAAGAGCTCCTTTCCCGCCATAAACCAAAACCCTGGCTACTGCCATCTTGGAACCTTCCCACGTGTTGCAAGTAGGATGATTACAAAATTCCGTACCTACCGCTCGCAAAGTATTTACACTCAAGTTACAAAGTCATACCCATGTGGACGGGGAGCAAAAGCTCCCCCAAAAATAAATATTTAAAATTTTCTCGTTGGTAATCTTGTAACCTGTTAGCTCTGCCTTTCCATGATCATTGATTGTTTATAGCACTTCTTGGACCAAATTTTCCAGTTAATAGTAAATAATATGGCACACACAAAAAAAAAGGAAAAACAAACAAACTTGTTGGAGCAAAATATCTCAGTGGAGTCCGCAGGGAGGTATTTGTTACTGGTATCAAAAGAATATGCAAATCAGTGTGTTGCTTACTTGATCTTACTACAAAGCGGGTTGCTCATTGAAGGCGGTTTTTGGGTCAGAAAGCTCGTGAGACCATGTTCGGTAGAGTTTAGCAGGACCAAAGGAAACTGCCTCATTAATGGGCCGGCAGTTATTCGTTCATCAGTCCCCTGAAAGTCGAGCGAAGTTCCTTCACGCCGTGCCATGATGCAAATGAGAACAGCCTTCATAAATCTCATCTTTGTATTGCTGATGCTGTTTGGTTGTGGAGTGATGCCATCATTTAACTGCCCACCAAAATGCGGATGCGAACAAAAAGAGAATGGTTATTCAGTTAAATGTGTGAACAAAGGATTGAAATCGCCGGTAAACCCTAATGATCTGCCGGACGACACATTCGAACTGTGAGTACAGCCGATCTTATATTAAGGGCTTTGTCGTTTCAGGATTACGTTGATGTTTGTATTCTTATCTTTACTGTGTTTTCTGTGTAATTATTTTCTCGACGTTAAACTCTTCTTCAACTCTATAGCCGCAGATATACTAAATGACTTCATAGAAAGCCAAATAAGTCGTGTTTTGAAGCCTTTGCCATTTTTACCTCCATTGCAGCAATCTGTCAAATAATGAAATACAGAGGATCGCAAACAATGCCTTCAAAAGGAGAAATCTCACAAAGATAAAGCGATTGTAAGTAGAGTCTTTCTGTTTTTTTGTCACCTGAAGTTTAAAGTAAGTTCATTTGTTTCTAATGAACCGGGTAGCTACGATGAAACCAACATACATGCACATTAATTTGATCTTCTAGCTATTATTTTGCTGGGTAGTTTCCATTGTTCAATTTGTTCTGCTTCTCACATTTGCATTAGTTATGAAGTCAATAGTGGCCTATATCAATCACTCCAGAGAACATACAGCCACTTGTTAGAAAGTTTCTGAGATATTGATCGTTTGATTTAAGATGGAAGGAATTCTCTTGTTTCCTTCCAATTCTTATCCGAGACTTTCCCATCTCTGTTTTTTTGGTTCCACAATGTTTCTTTGTGCTCGTATGTGTGTACTTATTTTAAAAATAAACTTACTGTATTTATCTTTCGGGTTTTAATGCTGGTCGAATTTTTTGTTGTTGTTTTTTGCGTGCCCGGTGATTGCAATAATTCAATGTGTCAATCGAGATCAATCAAACTGGCTTCCTGCTACGCAGATAGTATACACACCATGGCATAGTGCTCATTTCCCCTCAGTTGGGCTCACGATTGTTTACAAAATTCTATGGCACTTCCGATAGTAATTAGAAAGCAACTCAGCCTGTTAGTCGAAAATCGTCGTCTGTATTAATAGCTGTCATTGTTGTGTATTTTTTTTTTCTCAGAATTTTGTCTGGCAATGAACTAGATAAGATTGAACCAGATGCGTTCTCAGGGTTGAATAGACTGACAAAGCTGTGAGTTGTATATTAAATTGCATGTACTTTACTGTCTTCGCTTAAGCTAAAAAAATAATGGAAATGTGGGTTGCAATTTATGGAACTGGACTTGCAGACATCAAATATTTCATTTGCTAATTTTCATTTGTTTTCCAGCATACTGTTGAATTCTTGCATGATTTGCTGTTGAGTTTCAATGTGATTTCATTTGCTACTCAACTCTTGTGTGTGGTAAATATAGTTTAAATAATTTCGTATAGGAAAATAAGAAAATATGAGACCCATATTATTTGGTTTTTCTGGGATGTCTTGCAAGATAAGATGGCAAAATGGCAAAGAGCTTGACATGTTATCTTGGGACTGCTCCCTTTCTTTAACAAGTCAGGGTGCTGATAAGATAGATTGAAAGGAGGGTGGGGCTTGCCAATTCCATTCCCCAGCCACATGTTTTTTTCTTAATTTGCAAAATCCTACTTTTCAGATTGTAAAATTAGAAATTTAATGATAAATCCCTCTTAACAGCAGAATTTAGGAGAGCTCATCATGACACATTCCTGACCAGCAGGTCAAGCTTTGTCTTTACACATTTAAGAAAGATTAACCTCTTTTATCCCAAAGAGTTTATTTGTAATTCTTGTTAGTAAGTAGTGTCTGAGCTCCCTTATCTGTCAGTGCATAGAATTTAGTCTTAGACTTGTTTTCATATCCCTTAGCAGCTAGTTTTTCAAATTTGGATTTTATACTGGAGGGGGTATTACTGCATATTTTATACTAGAGGGGGTATTACTGCATATTTTATACTAGAGGGGGTATTACTGCATATTTTATACTAGAGGGGGTATTACTGCATATTTTATACTAGAGGGGGTATTACTGCATAATTATTTGTGTGAGTAGAATGGTTACTCAAGGCATGATGAGTTGACAGGAAAAATAACTTCTTATCAAAAGAAATTACAATTCTTGCTGTTACAGTAAATGTGGGAATTTGTTTATTTTCTCCTGTGAACTGGATGGGATTAGACTAGCCAAAAGAGTCAAATTGCTTAGAGTACGAGACTTAAATCAGTTGTTTTGTAAACCTCCTTTATAAAATGATTATTGATTATTGAAAATCATCAGCATCAATGGTACAGTTGGGTAGTTACAGTGTTAATGGCTATTTTTTTATCAGTAAATCACAAAGCTATGCCAATGAATCAGAGCTTTCCACAAATACACTAAACTGCAAGACAGTACAGTAGGATGTCTTCTGTCAGATTTGTATTTATTCTTATTTACCAGTTTTTGTTTGTGAGTTTTTCTTTTATGTTGTATACAATAATCATTCATTATGAAATGAGTTTTTGAGACAAATTGCTTTAATTTTACTAATTTGCTCTGTGTACCTGTTATTACCTTTATTATAACACAACAACTTATTTACACTCATCAACTTTCATTTGTTTTTTTTTTTTTGGTTTATAATTTGTAATTTAATTTTTTTCTCTCAGTGATCTCAGTGGCAATAAATTATCTCTTCTGGATGAAGGTGTCTTTAGAAAACTGAAGAATATTAAGATGATGTGAGTTATGATTTATGGGTGATTGTATGCTCACAAGTAAACAGTCATATCAATCTATGATGTTTACATGTATGTTTGAATTGTCAAAACATATGGTCATATTGATTAAACTCTCATACAAAGTAATATAATTTACATTATTTCACAATGTGTTAGATGTTTTTTTATTTTTTTATTTTTTTCAAATTGTACATAATTACCATGCAGCATTGTAATTAATTTCCAGGATTATTAAATCTTTGTCTTATAACCAAGATTGTAGTGATTGAAAATAGTTTTGAAGGGCTGTTTTGTAAAGATTGGGCTACATGTACATGTTACTAGATATTGCCATTTACTCACTTATTAGATTTGAGAGGTCTACTGGTATGTAAATACTTTGAAAATAAAGTAATTTACTTTGAGTGCAATCAAAAGAAATGGAGATACACATCTTTGAATACATTTCAATTATCTTGCATCGACAAGTTTATGACACAATTTTGTGGTTGTCTTTGTATGAGGTACTGTACCTGTACATTTAATATTTGCCCTACCTCTTTTTACATGTACTGACTTTTTTTATTATAAACCATTGACATTCTTTTTCTTTTTTTTTTCAGTGATGTGTCACGCAATCAATTGTTTATGCTAAATAAAACTCAATTTTATGAGTGCAGAAGTCTTAGAACCATGTAAGTTCATGAGAAACAATATTTTGAGTCAATCACTGGATGGTCATGATAAGTGCAACAACTTTTAAGAAGTCAGTTATTTGATTTATAAGTGTAAGCTTTTGTTCTCTACCAGTCAGGCATCCAGTCTCCTGAACTCAACACAACCCATTCTCTTCATGGCACATGAATAATAGCAGTTGATTTGTTATCAATAACCTTGATG